TTCATGTCCACAGTGACGACAGAGCAGTGCTGGCGAGCCTAAACATACAATTACATAGACAGATAGGAATAACAAATTCAGAGATACAGAATCGGGAAATACAGGCATCGGTGAGAAAAAAGGACGAGATGGTGAAGCAGCAGCCGAACAAGACATCAAGTTAAGCCTACCACAACAGCTATCAGGTCCTGTTCCCAGGATCATCCGACTTAGTAATCGTTGAAGCTACTGCAATTCACATCTACACATCAGACTTTTTGGTCCTTCGACTAGCACTTCCGTTCCTACAAAGATCATCGAGTATTCCTTGATCATAATTGTGCTGCTTATTCGTGGCAATAGTCCTGGTATTTACTGAGTAGACGGGAACTAGCACCAGCAGCCGGCCAAGATGACGATTTCACGAATCACTGCACTGTTTGCTAACTTATGAACTGGCATTGAATGTACGCTAGGAAGTGAGGGACCGCTTTCAGTTGCTTCTCAAGCAATTCTCGAAAGAAGTGCTCGTTGGGGTGCAAGTTCTGCAAGCAAAACGCTACTTCCGAATGCCTCCGTCCTCTCAGAGGACAGGAAGCAGTGGAGAAGTTCTGAAGCATCCACTGGCACACCCAAACATCCGCACTCCGATGAAAAGGGGGTACCTGTAAGAGCGGCGACAGCAGCAGCACGATGCAACATGCAGCACCACAGCAACCATAGTAAGCACATAAATTGCTTGCACCTCCAACCCAACAGCCAAAAAACTGCAAAAAACACACACCCACATCCGTCACATCGCAATCGTATCACAGCGAGAACGCCACGCTACCGCTTCTACCTCAAAGCACGAAACACAAAACCCCATCAGTAGCAGCAGCAGCATAGGGCACAGGGCAAAAAACACCGACTAATTCTCCGTCCCAGAGACTGTGCCAGCGCTTCCTCATACCTAGAACTTGGCTATCACGATGTGCTGGACTTCTCTTCCAGTACGTTCTTTCACCCAGAGCGATGCTACGAGAGAAGGCGATGAGGCGGACCAGCAAATGCGAAAATTTCACCAGTCAACGATGGAGGGGTGCGGGACAGGGTGAGCTCGGAGCCAGTGCCACCATCGCGCAAGGCAGAGCTGAAACCCCACCAGATACATCACTAACAGAAGCCTCCGAGGAGGTGACGCGCATGCACATATATCGAACAGGCGCCGTGAATACTGCTACCGCTGGTGCTAACTGGAAGAGGAGGGGGAGGGGGTGTGCTGCCGACAGATGACGGCTAAGATGATCTACGGGGATGATACTCCCACTGCGCCAACGGCCACCAACCTCGACACCACTTCACAGTGTAAGTGCATAACTCGAAGATTCGTTCGCCTGTGTATACGCCAAAAGCGCCGTTTACCGAGTAAGTGACGCTCAAATCACGGCCCATCGTCTCGCG